CAATCATTTACATCAATAGAAAATTTTAAACTACTTCTTTTATTAGGAAGAGGATCAACCTTTGCCTGGAGATAAGCCGAAATTTTAAAATCCTGGAAAGAATCAGATAAATTCTTATCTGCTTTTACGATTACTTCAGATGAGACTAAAATATTATTATTACTATTAGAATGATAATTATTGTTATTATTGTTATTATGACCACTGTTATTATTGTTATTATTATTATTATAATTATTATTATAATTATTGTCATTGTTATTATTATTATTGTTGTGATTATTATTGTTATTATTATTATTGCTGTTGGTGTTGTTGTTGAATGTGATGTTGCTTTTATTGTTGTTGTTGTCATTGCGGTTGTCATTAATAACCAAATATTCACTTTCATTTATTTCTTCATCGTTTGTGGGAGTTACTACAAAACTTATGGCTTCAAACTCATCATCAAATAATTCTTCAAGCTTTTCTTGAATTAATATATCAAGTGGTTCAGTAGTCCAACAAGAAATGTGTGGTACAAAGGAACTTTCATGGAAATCAAGTCCTATAAAATAAGCAGGTTGTGATTCAAATACTTTATCAATTTCATTTTTTTTGTCTATGAGTAATTTAAATAGCTTTTCAAATTTAACATGTGAATCAGCTGAAGTCCCAAAATATATATTTGATTCTATGGAAAGGAAATTCGAGAAATTTGGCTCAAATGATTCACTCCAAAGATTTGACTCATTAATGGAAATTTGGGGCTTCGTGAACTGAATAAAGTCGAAATAATTTCTATCAGCAGTAGTACTATTTTTGCCTTCAGCTGATTTCGCGAACCACTGGATTGCTTTCTCTTTATCCTTTGGTGTTCCAATTCCATGTTGGCAACAGTAAGCAAGATTATTTTGTCCTGTAATATTTCCCCCTTCGGCTGATTTCAAGTACCAATGAAATGCTTTCCGTTTATCTTTTGTTGTTCCAATTCCACGTCGATAACAATCGCCAAGATTATTCTGTCCGTCACTATTCCCACCTTCAGCTGATTTCAAGTACCACTGAAATGCTTTCTGTTTATCTTTTGTTGTTCCAATCCCACGTTGATAACAACAACCAAGATTATTCTGTCCATTACTATTTCCCCCTTCAGCTGATTTCAAGTACCAATGAAATGCTTTCCGTTTATCTATTGTTGTTCCAACCCCACGTCGATAACAATAACCAAGATTAATCTGTCCTGTAGTGTTTCCATTTTCAGCTGATTTTAAGTACCACTGAAATGTTTTCTGTTCATCTTTCGTTGTTCCAATCCCACGTCGATAACAATAACCGACTTCATTTTGTCCACTACTGTTTCCCCCTTCAGCTGATTTCAAGTACCAATGAAATGCTTTCTGTTCATCTTTTGTTGTTCCAATCCCATGTCGATAACAATTGCCAAGATTATTTTGTCCGCCACTATTTCCATTTTCTGCCGATTCCAAGTACCACTGAAATGCTTTCTCTTCATCTTTTGTTGTTCTGATCCCATGTTCGTAACAATAACCGATATTATTCTTTCCATCATTATTTCCATTTTCAGCTGATTTCATGTACAAATGAAATGCTTTCTCTTCGTCTTTAGTTGTTCCAATCCCATTTTCATGACATTTCCCAAGAATAATCTGTCCGTCACTATTTCCATTTTCTGCTGATTTTCTAAACCACAGAAATGCTTTCTCTTCACCATATTTTGTTCGAATTTCATTGTATTGCGTAGTTTCCATCTCTTCCGAAATTATGCTCAGCCGAATAAAGTGTTTATAAAAATATAACTTTGAGACTTAATTAAGTTTTAAATGGAATATAAATTCTAAAGGATTTAAAATTTGATATTGTCAAAAGATTATGCAATTTTTAATGTTATGTTAAATTCAATACAATACATAGCCTATAAATATTATATACAAATAAATTACAATATTGGCCCGTCATTTATATTTATTTACGCTTTGGTTTCGAAAAACTTGTCTCAAATAAATATTAATCGTTTTATATAGATATTCTTTCGGATTTGTATTTCCGGAATAAACTTTACAAATTGGTTATGATCTACATTCATTATGCATGGAACTTCGAGCTTCTAATTGGAATTCTAAGAAATGCTTTGTTCTTTTTATAACAATAATAATTTATAACTCACAATTTGCAATATCGCCCGATGAAACGCAAAGAAGGCGAGAAATGAAAATGAATTTTTGATATTCAAGAAACTTTTCTCATAATGACTGTACTGTCTCTAATAAAATCTTTCGAAATTATCTAAAGAATCTAAAAAAAAAAGATTAATTAAATGAACCATATTTAAAATTGAAAATATCCCAAAAAAATTTTTTTAATTTTTTGTTCTGACTTTTAATTTTACAAGTTTTTTTTTCAATTTACTAAAATTTTGAAAATATTTCAGCAAATGATATCCTTATTTTTATTGACTTGAATTAATTTAAATTTATTTTTCTCAAATTTCGAGATTACAATTTCACTTCGATGTGAATCTTTAACTGAATTCTGACCATACTATTTCTCCCTTCAGCTAAATATGATAAATGTTCATTGTCAGTACTAGCGAGGGGAAGCACCAAACTTCCTGAAAATTCTAGTTAACTGGCTTGCTAAAGTTTCTGCCATTAAGCGAAAATGACAATTACATTGCAGTGTAGATGTTGAAGGTTTCCATTGAAGAGAAACATGACACTACTCTTAATAAGAAGAAATCGTCTTGGAATAAGCAGTAGGTGAGAAAAGAGTGAGGAGCTGAATGTGAATGTGAAGAGGACAAGCTCTTTGGATATTCAGGTTTAGAGAATAACAAAGAAAACAATAAAAAGGAAAATGAAAAAGGTAATAGGTGATCTCTTATGACCAAACAAAGCCTCTAGAGAAGCTTTGGCAATCCTTGGCATAGTAAAGTTTTTCCAGATCAAAGGATTTACGAAGGATAGGAATTGATGTAACGTTGTGTTACTTGGAAAGATAACAGGTGATCTCCTGTGAAGCTTTGGCATAGTAAAATTTTCCCAGCAACATTGGAAGGATAAAGAGTTCACATGCTTACTCAAAAAGTACTAACTATTGTTAAAATTTTTCACGGTTGCATCATTTGACTTTTAATAAAATTGCATGATTAAAAAAATAATGGCAGATTTCTTATTTTTAACATTTGTTAGAAAAAAAAATCTTTGAGCGATTAATTAAAATCGTTCGGAAGGTATGAAAGTACTTGAATACTGTATCTTTTTTGCTAAGCTGGCTTATGAAAGATTATTTTTTCTTTGATTATAAATACTCACGAATTTTTTTACTCTTCCATTTTTTACATCCAGAACTTTGAGACACATTGGACAAAGTAAACTTTGAGCGACTAATTAAAACTGTTCAGAATGTATGAATGTAATTGAATATTTGTTATCGCTAGACTGGCTTATGAACAGATCGAAATACGAATTTTTCTTTAATTACAAATACTCACGAATTTTTTTACAGTTCCATTTTACATCAAGAACATTGAGACGTAATTTCAAATACATTGGACAAAATAAACTGCCTTTGGGTGACTAATTAAAACTGTTCAGAAGTTATGAAAGTAATTGAATATTTGATTTTAATAAGCTGACTTACAAACGGATTGAAACATGAATTTTTCTTTAATTACAAATACTCACGAATTTTTTTACAGTAGAATTAGTTTAATAAATGCTGTAAAATAATGTGTTATATTAATAAATTAAAAATAACAAATAAATAATTTCAATATTTAATAATTGTTTTGAATTAGAAACTTGTTTTTTATTATTATTTTTCATTTGTATTATTTATGTTGTAGGAAAAAAAATTAAATGATTTATAGTAATATTACGTAACATTATGCCTAAACGAGACAAATAGAACAAGCAAAGATCACAATAAACAAAATAATAAAAAAAAAAGAATAATTTAGAAACGGTAAAGAAAATTATGTCCGAACAAGAAAGAGTATTGTTCGTTAGTATCAACACTCAATTCGCTGCTTAGAGAAGGTAATATTAAATTAATTAAATTACACTACCAAACCCCCCTTTGGCTAAATATTCTATATCTTTAAATTTACTATAATCCATCTCCAAATTTCCCATTCCTTTGCATTTTCATCTATTTGAGACATTTGAATAATCTTGTCAATTTCAATATTACCACTGGTCCATTTTGACAAATAGCTTATTTCAATAAGTTTACAATTTGAACATATGGTTTTGTATATATTTAAATTTCCACAATCATGACATATACCAAAACTTTTATGATACTTAATACAGATTTCACTGCAACCATTTTCTTTCCAACAGAAACAGCAAAAATAATCATTATCAAAATATTTAACAGACACTTGAATATCATCCTTTTTAATATCTTGAATTAATTTATTTTCATTTTTCTTAATTTTTGAGATTCCAATTTCATTTCGATAAAAATATTCAACTGTGATTAAATTTATTGCCCCCTTCATCTGATTCAAAACCCAATAAAATGCTTTCATTACATCCTTAGTAGTTCCAATCCCATTCCTATAACAATAACCAAGGTTATTCTGTCCATAAATATTTCCACCTTTAGCTGATTTTGTAAACCACTGAAATTCTTTCTCTTCATCTTTTGTTGTTCCAATCCCATTCGTATAACAATCACCAAGATTATTCTGTCCATAAATATTTCCCCCTTCAGCTGATTTCAAGTACCACTGGAATGTTTTCTCTTCATATTTTGTTGTTCCAATCCCATAGAAATAACAATTTCCAAGATTATATTGACCAGTGATATTTCCCCTTCAGCTGATTTTGTAAACCACTGAAATGCTTTCTCTTCATCTTTTGTTGTTCCTGTCCCATTTTTATAACATTCTTCAAGATTATTCTGTCCATAATTGCTTCCACCTTCAGCTGATTTCGTAAACCACTGAAATATTTTCTCATCATCTTTTGTTGTTCCAATCCCATTTCTATAACAATAACCAAGGTTATTCTGTCCATAAATATTTCCACCTTTAGCTGATTTCGTAAACCACTGAAATTCTTTCTCATCATCTTTTGTTGTTCCAATTCCATATTGATAACAATTCCCAAGAATATTCTGTCCGTCACTATTTCTTTCTTCAGTTAATTTCAAATGCGACTGAAATAATTGTTCTTGTTCTATATCTTTAGAGGTTTTGTTACAATTGTTTTGTTTATTATCCATTTCTGTTGAGATTATGTTTTGCGGAATAAAATTTTTTTTAAAAAAATTTTTATTGATAAATAAATCCAAATAAGATTTATAATTTATAAAAAAATATGATAAGATTAAATTAAATTCCTGTTAATACTTTTCACCTTATCATTTAAATAGAGAATCGAATAAATATTAATTTTTACATTATACATTCTTCCAAAACCTTCTATTTATTTGTTATGCGATGTAACATTTAGATTTCCGGAATTTGTTATATTTGCCCATAATGTAATTTATTATTGTAAAAATCATTCTGATTTTGGATGAGAAAATAAAAAAAAAAAATTTTTTTTTGGTAAAAAAGGCTGCGGTATTGAGTGTGCACGAAATGTTGCGGAAGTCACGGGAATGACAGTTAGATGAGTGTTACCAGGATGAGTGTGTTACCATTTAGATGACGGATTATTCATCTTTGTACGAAGTATTTCATTCTCGCACGTTATCTTTCATCCCTTGTATGTCATCTTCGAAGAATAGAAAAAATGTGTCTAGATGCGACAACAGAGGATGAAAGAAAACAAGTTCGAAAATATATAAAATAACTGGTACTTTTATTGCGATATTATACTTTTATAACATTTTAATAAATTTCGGAGATTTATGAACATTTTTAAAATAATAATAATAGTGATAATAATAAAAATTCCAAAAATAAATAATATATTCTGCAATAATTTGAAAAACTTAATAAAACTTTATTTCGTGATAAATGGTAATATTGGTGAGAAGCAGTTAACAGCCATAATACCTTTATTACCAATTTTTTTTTTAATTTATTGATTAAAGTTACTGCATAAAGTCAAAACCTAAGATTCGAAAGTTTGCGGAACAAGTTAGTAAAGATACTTTTACTTCACTTGCTCACGTACCTTCAGATCACACCAGTGTGTGTAGTTGTTTAAGAATATCTGTAGCACTTAACCGGCGTAGTCAGTTTTAGCCTGACTGGGATAGTATGCAGTTGCGAAATATTACGTACGACCTGCGAAATTAGGTAGGGAAACCTAACAGGAAGTATAGTGTAGTTTTGAAGTGCTACGTACGCTAAGAGGTGTGATACGAATTTGATTTAGTGAGACTGATTGTTGTAATATCGACTCGAATGATCAATAAATTAAATTAAATTGGAATTAATTGAATTTGGTGATTTTATTTTGGTATAAATCTTTACTATTAGTAAATTGCTTGTTGTCGCCTTTAAAAGACTTTTGATTGGTGGGTTTCAGATTCCGTAATACCATTTTTATTGGTCCTATCGGTATCGGTTATGAGGTTTATTTAAATTTTGTAAAGTGAAAAAGGTAACAGATGATATCTTACCTCTAGGCATAGTAAAGTTTTTCCAGATTAAAGGATTTAAGAAGGATAGAAATTGATGTAACGTGAAGCTTTGGTTAACCCTTGACATAGTAAAATTTACATTGTGCAAATTGGATAATCTAATTCCCTCTCGGCTTAGTGGGAAGGACATGCTTACTCAAAAAGTGCTAACTATTGTTAAAATTTTTCAGGGTTGAATCATTTGACTTTTAATAAAATTGTATGATTAAAAAAATAATGGCAGGTTTCTTATTTTTAACATTTGTGAGAAAAAAAAATCTCTTTGAGCGATTAATTAAGACTGTTCAGAAGGTATGAAAGTACTTGAATACTGTATTTGTTTTTGCTAAGCTGGCTTACAAACGGATTGAAGGATTATTTCTTTAATTATAAATACTCACGAATTTTTTATACTTCCAGAACTTTGAGACGTAATTTAAATACATTGAACAAAGTAAACTGCCTTTGAGCGACTAATTAAAACCGTTCAGAAGGTATGAAAGTATTTGAATATTTGTTTTCGCTAAGCTGGCTTGCGATCGGATTGAAATACGAATTTTTATTTAATCTCAAATACTCACAAATTTTTTTATAGTTCCATTTTACATCAAAGTCATTTTGTATCAAAGTAAACTTCCTTTGATCGACTAATTAAAACTGTTCAGAAGGTATGAAAGTACTTGAATATTTGTTTTTAATAAGCTGGCTTGCAAACGGATTGAAACATGAATTTTCCTTTAATTACAAATACTCACGAATTTTTTTACAGTAGAATTAGTTTAATAAATATAGCAAAAAATATGATATATTAATAAATTAAAAATAACAAATAAATAAGTTTCAATATTTTATGATTGTTTTGAATTAGAAACCTGTTTTTTATTATTATTTTTCATTTGTATATGCAAATTCTGTTTATTTATGTTGTAGAAAAAAAAATTAAATGATTCATATAAGGTAAAATAATAAAAATAAAATGAAATACAGTACCATTATTAATTATTATTTTAATATTCTCCCATATTTATTAAACCCATTGTGGTTACGCACTCAATAAATGTCATAACAACTACAACTAAATGTGCAAAATTAGAAACAGACACCCTCTAATGCAATCGAATAGCAACAAATCAAAAAAAGTAAAGGCGAACAGATAGATTCATGTGTAAATAAGATAAAAACAATAGAAGAAAAAATAAATAACAAAAAAATCCCCGTGCCTCCGGCACGGGTCCTACGCTAGCCAACTTTGAGTAGTTACATAAATATTAAACAAATGTTATACGATTATTTTTTTAATATTTTTTTTTCTATTCCTAGACAAAAAAAAATGGCAACTAAAATTCCAACAGAAATATTAATTAAAATTTTAAATAATGTTCAATCATTTCGTTCAACTAAAGATTTATATTCATCATTATTAGTAGTTAATCGAATCTGGTGTAAAGTTACTATACCTATACTTTGAGAATTACCTTTGGGTCAAGAATTTCATGCAGATGATAAGGAGTCGAGGAAGAAAGCATTATGTATTCAAACTTATACGTATATCATATAGACTAGGACTTACTCAAAATGGATTTGATTTATCATCATCGCCACTTCAAGCCACTTTTGATTATCCATCATTCACTCATAAATTTATAATTGACAATTTGGTTAACTTTATTTCCATATATTCAAAACAAATTATTAGTTCAGATCGAGATATCAACAACAAAAATAATAATAAGAACGAATTGAGAATATTATTTCGTGTGATATGTAAATTAATAATAAATCGTTGCTCATTTCTGGATTATTTTAGTTTGAGGAGAGTCGAAAATTTTCGTCATTATAGTGGTTTAATTGATTCAATTCTCGAGTTACCTGGTGCCCAGAAAGCATTTAAGAAATTAAAGAATTTTACTTCAATGAGAGGAAACAATGACCTGATTTTTCCATCATATCAATCATCAAGATTAATTTGTCATAATATTTTAAATATGGATTTGTTCTTGTACTCATATTCTCAATTGCAATTATTTTCAAAACTTATTAGTGTTCAAAAAAGTTTAGAAGATATATTTATTGATGCATCTAATTATCCATGTAATTGAAATTCTTGTGATTCAATATTTTGGGCTATACTTAGCAAAAGAAACAAACACCAAAGGGTCCTATTTAATAAAAGTACATTTTTATAATTTCGAGGAAATTTCATCACCAATTGGACAGTTTACTTTACTTAAAGTACTTGTTATTGGAGATTTGGATGGAATATATAATTACTTGGCTTCATCATCATTTATCCAATTAAGTTTTTTTTAGTAGTCATTCAAGATATGCATTTGATGGGTATCCCAAGAATTTATTATAAAAATTCTCGAAACGGCCAATAAAAATTCAAATAATATTTGTCTAGATTTATGTCCCACAATCAAATTGAATACTATTTTTTTTCCGTAGTAGATGAAATCAGAAATTCCAAAGTCATAATCAATGATGTCGGTTACAATTTAGTATGATTTGCTTTCTTATCATATTTGTATTGATTTCGTTCATTATATTATGATAAATAGATGCCCGTAATCAATGATCACATCTCAAAAGCATCAAATTTCATTTCATATGAAGATCAAAAATTTTAAGAGATGGGTACAGATCACGTACTTGGTAAGAAGAAGGTACTACTCAGGAATATTTGTCATAGTCTACTCAATACTTTTAGACAATAAAGTTCTCAACATATTATGATAAACTTAAAACTACATGGTACATTCATTTGGGATATAGAGATACATCAAATTATGAACTTGAAAGAGAACATAATTAATTTTAAAATAAAGATAATAATTATATATGTCATTAAACATGAATGTCATTATTAGAAATGATTTATGATGATGATGATGTGTCATTAGACGTGATATCATTATTAGAAGAAATTCCAATAATTTATGGTGATGATGATGATATATCTGAAATTATCCGAAATTATGCAAAATCAATTTTTATTTTCTTGTTATTTTATTAGAAATTTATTCTTGCAACATATGTTGAGACATATGTTAACTAAAGAGTAAATTTTTTTTTTTTAAAAAAAATAATAATAATATAAACAGTAGAAAAGGTTAATTTTTTTATTTGCAACACGTTATCCGAAATTAGTACAATATTTTGCAAGACGTATATTTTTATATATCCATTTGTTTAATTTATTGAGGTAGTTTTTTTGATAAGTTTCATCTTGCATTTGATGCTATTGTGGGTTGCACACGTAAAACCGAGATTTCATTTTTCTATTGTTGGTAGTCTAAAGGATTTATTCGAGGTAATAAAAATTTCTCATTTTATCTCTTTATTTTCTAATTTAATTCTTGTCTATTCTTATTTTTTTTGTTAATTCTAATGTCAGATAATGAATATATTGTGATATTTGTAAAGTTTAATGATGATTAATTATGATTATATTTCTACAGTTAAGCAAGTAAAGATTTTGAATTCGATAGATGGCATGTTATAATATAAATCTTTTCTTTCTTTTTTATCATATAAACAAACAAATAAGTATTATATAATATAATTCTATCTCCCTTTTTTCATAATAAAGTAATAATAATAATATTATTCCATTCTAACTAATTTTATTTAATCATAAAAGTTTTTTCTTCTTTTTTTTTGAAATCGTTAATGTAAAATTGATATTATTTTAGTAATTAGTGTACTAGTAGTAAGTGCAATATAATTGACCAATTTTTTTTAACAATAATAAAATTTTTTTGAACAATACAATATAATATAAATTCTAACATTGAAATGAAATGTTAAAATTAGTTTTTGACTTCAAAATGACAATTCAATTCTATGTAATAATAAATTAATGGGCTAGACATTATGAGGTACTTTGTTATAATGAAATAATTTAATTGTTATTTTTTTTTTTGAAATTTTGAAATTAAGCAAAATTATGTAAAAACGTTGAATCTCGCATCGAGTTGTTCGTGTGAGTTTTGATATATAATACTCAATATATTTCATCATCACGTCTAAATCTTTTTTTTTTTTGACAGACAAGTGTGGTCTCATTTTTATTAATTAAGTTAAAAAATTTTCTAGCAACATAAAATGTAGACTTTCTACAAAAAAATTTACTAGTTTCCTAAATCTAATTAACTAGTCATTTGGGAATAGTTTAAACTAAGTCTAGCAGGAGATTTCAACCTCACTATTGTCAATATTATAAAATATTAATACATGAAAATGATATGTTGTCACAAATGTGCAGAGTATTTCGCCTATCAGTCTCAGAATTTGTCTCACACAAACTAATTTTTTTAATACACTCTATCTGCCAGTAGGTCAAGCAATCTGTTGATCTAAACTTGCCTATCTCGAAACAGATAATAAATATAATATAATTCTTTTTAATTCTTTTAATTTTTTATTTTTAATCTGAAGGCCCAGTGAGTAAGGTGGAGTAAAAGTGTTAATACAGTATCAAATAATATTTAACAATATTTCGCAATATCATGACACAAAAGGTAAGTTTATTAAAATATAAAAGGTACAAATTTAAAAGTAAAGTATCATTTAATGACAGAAATATTGCAGGTTACATGTCTATTTTACCATTCCTAAAGGAAGTTTACTTTTCTATCTAGTAATAATAATATCCGAAACTATCTGTAATTATTAATTAACTGAAGTTTAAAAAACTACTAAGACTCCTGTTTTCTGTCTCTAGTGACTACTTCCTTTATACTTTTTCACCTTCATTCAAATTTCACCCGTCATCCTTTGTACTTCATCATACGGATGACAACACAAGTTATTATCCTCGTACAATCATCTTAGTGTTACCGTTATCATCTCCCGTGATAATCCGCATGCTTACAAAATTACTCACTTAACCATTCTTTTATTATCGTATTCCTCTGGTTTAGCATTTCTGATCCATTTGACTTTCTTTTGTTTTGCTTTTTTTTTGTTTCATCTTTCCTTCCATTTGGTTATTTGGAAATTTTTGATTTCCCAACTCTATTTTAACCTGGGTTTCTTTGTCTCAACCCTTATTTTCTCATATTTCATTTATGATATTTTTTTCCATCTTTTGTAGTAAAATACCCAAATAATTATTGCAAATGAGGACGTGTAAACAGTCTTCTGTTGTAGCATTACGGAATATACATTTATCATCTTTGCATATGTCCGGTCTTCCCTCTGTTAGATTTTTTTTTAACTTCGGAAGTCCATCATTAAAGACTTTAAAGTTAAATGAATGATTGCTGTGATCTTCCCTAGATGTTCTCAAATTTATTATTTTGGTACCATGTAAGAGGTCTTTGGTAAGTTTCCAATTTGTTTCCATTTCCATTTGAATTTTTCTATTAAGCCAGTTATGATATCTAAATAATAGTCTCCATTTCTTGTCTCTTTTTACTCCTGAACTGCCGAACGAATTTAAATAAGGTTTTTAAAGAGCATATCTACATAATGTTGGTTCCATTTGAAATTTACATGAGTTTTGAATTCAATTCTATTGTTTCACTTGATGTTGCCCCTGTTTGGCTAACTTGCTTGCTTCCTTATTGCATTTTGCAACTGTACGAACGTCCACTTTATTAACTCCAGATTCTTGATTTCAGTGAGATTTACAATGGGTTATAGAATCATTTGATTCATGTACTTCTTCCATGATCTTTTCGGATCCCTTTTTTGGAGGCCTTTGATGGCTAAGATTCAGAGCTACTGTCTTTCTATAATAATATTTTTGGTAATTATTTTCAATGCCGCTGTTATTGCCATAACTCTGCTCTGGTTGATGGCGTATCTAAGATTTCAGCCTTTTGTTTCTGTTTGGTTTACTATCAATTTGTTGCGTATAATAATTCAGCTTTTGTCATGTGATTCAAATCTTCATTTCCGATTGTATAATATTTGTTAATAAGGAACCATCAGTAAAAATACCAAATTCGTAGTGATAATGCATTGCTTGTTCAATTCATTTTATTTTTTGATTGATTTCTACTGTTACTTCCAAAATGGTGTTCACATATTCTTCATATTATACTGAGTTTTGTTTCGAAATTGCTTGATTTTCTATGATCACTCTCTTTAATTCGGATGATATCATCGCTCCTTTTTTTTCTTTTAACTTCTCTGTTTAAGCTTGAATGCAATACGTTGGTTATGGAAAATTTAATCAAATCCCCAGTGTATCTTTCCACATGCGATATGAGATGGCTCCTATTTTGTCTCCCGAGTTTCCTTATGTTCGCATCCTCTGCATACTTCTAATACCGAAGTTTCTTTATTATTAATTACATCTGAATTAAATGTTTTGCCAAGACCTGCTGATTATTGCTTTTCTTGTTTCTTTGAATCTTGCTCGATAAAATTTCGTAATTCTTTACTGTGAGCACAGTTTGACTTCCTATTGCAACTTTCCTTTCAACACCTGATAAATGATTGAATTTCCAATCTTCTAATTCTGAAAACCATTTCTAGGGATATGTTCTATACGTAAGTTCATCTCATGTACAATCTTGTTAATATTCGAGTTGCATAATTGTTCAATAAACAATTCATATTTTGTTACGCTCATACCGGCTACCCTTGTTATTAAGATTGGGTCTACTATCTGTAAATTCCTTGATTGGCGATTTTCATCCAGCTGGAACCACTGATTTACTCTTGTCTTATACTGTTCTATAGTAAGGTCATTTTTTGCCATCATTTAGATTATTTCCCAGTTAAATTAGTGTATTTGTTTGGATTTTTATAATTTATTATGATTTATTTATTCCATAGTGATTTTGTTACCCGAAGTTTGTTCTGTAATTGCTGAATTCTAATTGTGCTTGCGGCCCACATAGGTTATTTTCATTTATTTTTTGAACAAACAGCTATGTGTCTTCCGATGAGCCGATCAATAACTAAGGTACGTTAATCATCACTCGGTCAACTATTGAATCATCAGGGATCACATGAACTAATTCCTTGTCACTGATTTTGGCTTGGTTTATTCTAACTCTGCTAGTGACCTGAATTTATAATATGTACACTAAAGAAAATTTTGTTGAAAAGGACGGGAATGTTAACGTTGATAAGATTATCCAAGAATCTCAGATACAATGGATACCTTATGATAATTTTTACGATACCAAATACATAATTGATAGTGAAAATTACACTTTTCATTCGTCTAGATTAAGAAATTACATGATAGACAAACTTGAATATCGTGGTGTTGTTGTTTTGAAAGAATATAGATATGATATTTTAGAATTTTTTAAAGAGGTATGTTTGATTATCTCCCTAAATATTAAGTAATTATGACTGAAAAATTTATTAAGTAATATTTGACTTCCGCATTTTTTATTATACTTCAGATTAAGAATAATGGTTCTTATTCTTATTGCTTCGCCAAATTATTTGGAATTTCCAAAAATCCTTCTACACAAAACTACATTATTGTTATGGAATCATGTAGAAATACTGCCCATAATTGTTTATCTAATATCTTTCGAAATAATAATTGGCATTCAAAAATAAGTTCACTACATGAAATAATAAGAGGCCTCGATGCTTTACATTCAAATAGCCTGATTCATTCTGATTTACATAATAGAAATATTTTAATTCTTAATCGTGAGAAATTTGAATTAACCGTAAATATAAACCCTCGTTTATGCAAATCAACCAATGATTTAATTTTAAACTCAGACAACAAAATCCATAATGTTTATGGTTCAATACCATATATTCCACCAGAGGTATTAAGAGGAAATGAATTTACAAGGGAAGGTGATATTTATAACTTTGGTGGAATTATGTATGAAGTGGCTACTGGAAACCAACCATTTGCTGACCAAGCACATGACACCTATTTGATGATTGATATATGTAATGGTGTAAGACCAAAAGTCCCCCATATGATGTTAAATTTGATTCCAAGTCGTTATATTGATATGATGTATCAATGTTGGAATGATGATCCTTCTAAACGACCAACAGCTCAGGAATTATCTGATGCATTATATTTATGGAAAAATAGCGACATTTATAGAGAATTTGGCGATGTTGAATATAATAAAAGAATAATGAATAAATCTCAAGAAAAAAAATTACTTCGATCTTTATATAATTTTCATCCTCAATCCTGTTATACTAGTAGGCACATTCATACTCTTTGCAAATTGCAAGATTCATTAGAAGATTTAAAATCTGGAAAATGTGCAGGTATTATTTTTAGTATTATTTCAATTGTATAATTTAAAATTGTATTATTTTATTAAATAATTAAATCACAAATTTTATATTTATAGATCCTAATTTATATACTGAAGGTATGGAAACGTCAAAATAGTAATATATTGATTAGGAAAATAAATTTTAAAAATAAATCCGAGATCTCAACTATACATAATTTTGATATGATAAAGAATCATCAGAGGTTAAATTATGAAAATGCATTTGAAGAAAAGAATTTCTCAGTTTTTCATTCAAATATATTTTAGAAATTAAAAAGAAAATCAAATAAATATTTCTTTCTTTACTAATATTTTTTTTTCATTCAATTCTGAGTGAAGTTTTCAGAGTTTCATTTTTATTCATTGAAGATTTAATATAATAATTTCCAATTGACAATTTTGACATAACTAACGAGACATGATATATATATTTATTTTTTTAAAAATATTGAAGGATCAGATTGGCTTAAATGATTATAAAATATTATTATTATTATGTTTTATATGAATATGCTTTACCTCAGATGGTGTACCTCAGATGTTGTACCTCAGATTTTGACTCAGATTGCAGCTGAGGTGAGGTACCTCAGCTACAATCTAAGTCACCGTTATTTTTATATACTATATATATAGTCTTTTTTATTTAAATTATTTAAATAATATTCTTTTACTTGCCCTCTATCTACCTTCTCTTCTTGGGTTAAAAATATAATATACTTACCTCTCCTTGGAATCAGAATTGGTAATTTCAAGATTGTGATGCAGGTTTAAGTCTTTTTTATTTTTTTATTTAATTTTTATTTTTAAAAAAAATATTCTTTAACTCATTAAAACATACTTACCTCTTTTTGGAATTGGAATAGGTGATTTTATAATCGTAATAGGTGTATATATGAGTTTTTTTTATTTTTTTTTATTTAAATTTTTTTTTAAAAAAAATATTCTTTCTCTCCTTGAAATTGGAATTGGCAGTTTTGTAATTGTAATGAGCATATGTATGTAGGTATGAGTCTTTTTTTATTTTTTTTTTTTAAAAAATATTCTTTAACCTACAGTAACTTACAAAAGTACTGTAACAAAAAAAATCAATTTTCAAATCAATATAACTCAAGAAATATAAATCTCATAATAATAAATTTGTATTATTAAATAGCCTTGGTTTTATATTTTATATTAATATAAAAATTATTTTAAGTTAATTATAAAATTCTAAAAATATATTTATTTATTTAAAATTTCTATGTTGCATTACATATGTGATTTTTTTAAAAATATAGATTTTGTAATTTTCTAAAAAAAAAAATAAAATAAATATAATAAAAAAAATAATATATTCTAATTGTTTAATATATATGAATTAGTAATATATACAAAACTGAAAAACTCTTCCCATCGACCACTTGCATCAAATATTTCTACAGTAGAGAAATACAATTTTTCACTGTAGTTACATATTAAACTTAGTTATTTTTCTATCTTTTTACTCGTATGGGTAAGAAAAAATATAAATACAATACCAGAAGTGTTTCTGGTCAACAAGGTAATAACAACAACCTCGAAAATGAGGAAAATATGAATTTTATTCCTACAGCTAGCAAATACAAAATGAAAATAATACAACTATGAATATAAAAGAAGAAATAAAGGTGCCTTTGGTACCAGTGCACACAAGTAAAAAAAGAGTTGTTAGAGAGTCATTTGAAGAAGAAACAGAAATAAATATTAGTAATGTTGTTAAACCAGGATCAAGTATTTTATTTGCGGCAGAACCAAAATACAAAGAAATTCAGATGGTGAAGAGGATAATGACTTATATATTGAGGAAGAATTTGAAACAGTAAAAAGTAAAAAGAATAAAAATGAAAGAGTTGAAAAAGTATTTGTAGAGAAACCTAAAAATATCTCTCCTAAAATCTGGCATAAAGAAACTGGTATAAAACTTTTTAAAGTTTCTGTTGAAGT